TACCTAGACACAGGAGAACTATTGTCGTGAAAGTGTTGTACAGTTGATTACGAATTTAGATTGCAGAGAGTTTGTTCTGAGCGCTAAAAGCACTCACGATAGAGCACATTTTGCTTTATTCTAACATCCATCACGATACGATACCCTTCTTTTACCAATAACGACGCACTGTCCACATCACAGATGGCATCGGCGTCATACTTACACATATTATTCATGTGTTTACTCTCAACTTCATGTGTTAGATTCCTTCCTCCTCCAACATTTGTTTCATAATTGAAAATATACGGAAGCTCTTTCAATGTTCCCATCTTCGCATTCATCGAATCTTTGCAAAGATGAAATGTCAAACCAGTGTCAAGGGACGGACCTGTTGCGCCCAAACAAAACCACTTCGGATCATGCATATCAAAATGCTCCGGAATCTTGCCATCCTTATAATCATTTGAATCAAGATATACCAGATTGCCGCTATCCTTGTACTTGAGTCCGCGATGAGCCTGGGAATGCATCACAGCTACTTCCCTACCAACCTGTACGTTGGAGCTCTGTGTACTTGCAATACTGTCGTCTTCTTCAGCTGCTCTGACAGCATCCAATTGTACCTGCCAGTTCGCCATTATGTCGTGTGGTGGTGACGTTCCAAATCTTGAAGGTCTTAAAATAGGCTGCGGTACTCTCTTACGTCCGCCAAACTGAGCCATATTCCACCCCTGAATGCCAATCTTTTGCTTTCGAGGCGATGGACCACCACTCCTGTCAGCCGAACCAGTCTGCATGTGGTTCTGCTGAGAAATACCACCATCATTGGTAGCGAGCGTACCTGCGGTGTTAGCTGTCACACTTGACTGCACAGATCCATCCTTGGTGCTTGCCTGCAGGTGTACCTGTTCGCGTCCCGATTCATTATTGGGATACGATCTCCATTTTGTCGGATCTTTCCATTGTTCCTTGGGTCGGAATCGATGTTCACATCGCGGTGCAACATGATCCGCCTTGCCACAGCAAAAACATTTACGCTTACTCTCCTTGTTGTATTCTTGTGCAAGGTTAGTACCATTCTGTGGAGTGTTCGTTTTATCATTTGTGTTGTTGTTGTTGTTAGGTTTCGGTGTTGTTGTTTTCTTTGCCCAATGATTGTGTAGCGCCTTGGCTGCAGCTTCCACATCTCTCGGAAACAAATCTCGCTGAGCATAATCCACGTGCTCCACAGCGTATGCAGTAACAAAATGATCAAGTACCGGCTGGTATCGTGCACGATCACAGTTGTGCAGTAGCCCAGCAGCACAGAACAACTTTACAAACTCTTCCTGAAATTCTTCTTGAAGTGCTTCAACTTCTGCGGCAACTCGCTTCTTTTCTCTATCCGATAAACCATCAGTCGGACGATTGTTTTTAATTTCATGATATGCGGTCATCTTTGAGGCAAACACATCTAGCCACAAATCACCCATGAAAGATAATACTGTAGTTGCGCACTCTTCAAATCGTTTGCGGTATTCAATTACCGTTTCATTTCCTTTCTGACGACAATTCACCCACTTCTGTAGTGCTTCCCACAATGTGATGGGTTCCCAGTCTGTCACATCACTGGTCGTCATAAGTTTATTGATGCGTCTCAATAATTCAATAGGATCACCCTCGATTTTCTCATTGTAATCGACCTCCTGCAGAATCTTGTCCTTCATTTTACTGGTAACAAATGACTCCATAATCAGCGAATGAACATGCCACTTTGCTTTGCTCCAGTATCGCTTTTGTCGATGATATTTGACACTCTCTGTTTTCAATTCTTCTTTCTTTGCCTCTTTCTCAATTTTGTCTTCTTGACCAGTTAAATTCAATTTGGGTTTCAAATCATCCCAGTCTGGTTCATTTAATTCTTTGATGGCAGATATCATAATCTGGGGGTACTCGGGGTACTCCAATCCCTCCATTCCAATTCGTTCGATGAGGCTTCTTGTTACATCGGCATAAGGAAAATCTGGGTCGCTCAGATGATACTTGGGCGGTCGTTTTTCTTTCTTTTTTGCATTCTGTGAATTGCCACTTGTCTGGCGATTTCCACCAAATCGATTGCCGCCGCGAACTCCTCTTGTACTTTGGTTGCGGCGCGTCATTTTCTCTTTTATAAATTTTCTTCAACTATTGATTGAGTGTCAGATGGACTTGCTCTACAGACCTGAATGGGAGCCTCAACGCCCTGTCTGTTTCAATGAGCAATCCCTGAGATCGAATCTACGTCGGCTATGGTCTGCCTTTGGGCACCAGCGACTCTGGGCCTCAGCCTCTGGAATAAGTAGTAGTCTTATTCAATCAAAGGTCTTACTTTATTATCTCCTATACTTGCTTGGACCTTAATGTCCACAATACTATTCTTGCCAGAACTCAATCGATAGTGAGACTCTCGATTGCAGTTCAAAATCATCATTCAAATTCTCACAATTATCATTCTTGATCACCTTTCTACGTGATGACGCGTTCTGACATACTGCGTTTCATATTACGCACGATCGACACTCACGTCACTGCCGCGTCACGTCATGTAGACCATTGATCAATAATCGACCAATATGATTGCTCAATATATCAATACATCCAACATCGTCAACAGATTTTGCCTCAAACGATGTGGCCCAATTCCCACTAGGGGTGGTCCACTGAAGCAGAGGGGAATGTTGTCTCCCTCATAGCAGATGGAGAATGAAACTGAGATCTTTGGCCATGCATATCTCATGAGTTCACATCCTCCTCCGATAATACCCATACTCCGTATATCAATCTCTTCCGTCACTACCTGCTGGACCTCCACTCCCGTAGCCATTCCATGCATTCCATCAATACGAATATGCTCACCTAACACGTAATTGGAAAGAATCATAACGACAGTTAGATGTTACGGTAGGGGTACACATTGGTAATGGACTTTGAGGGGCTGAGGGTCGGGATCTGTGGAAGGGGCAATTGGTATCTGTGGCAAGGGAAAGGTAGGAGGTATTGGTCCAATCAATTAGCATCTGGCCTCCGGTGCGAGGGCACCTAGCCTGCATCCTTGATTGAAAACGTCAATTAGCATCTGATCTCCGGTGCCGAGGCACCTAGTCTGCGTCCTTGATCATAGTTTTGAGTGGTTGGATTTAATCTTCCCCTTCTTGGGGGGTGTCCCACGTCTCAGAGACGTCCTTGATGATTTGATTGACATCTTTGGACTTGTCTTTGGTGTGGACACGGAGGATCTTTGTCCGCATCTTGTGAGCTTTCGAAGTAGCATGCTCTGATAAGGGACAAGCTGAAGCCGTGTGACCTTTCTGCAAGATATCGTGTAGTTTCTTGCTGCCACATTTGGGACAAGCTCGTTCCCGATTGTTCGTAGTGGTGGTGCATGATTTCCCCCCGCCGCTTTGCGAGCCGCCCTTGGTGTCGGTGGACTCTATTTCCTAGTGGATCTCTGATACTCGTTCCCACAAGCTCTCCATCACTTCGTTGGCACTGAATCCGTCCGCTGCAGCGTCCCGTAGGTAGGTGTAGGAGCGTAGAAGATGTGCTGTCTTGTTGACACTGTTACACCAAATGAATGAAGAGGAGCTTTTCTGAATGGTGATCCAGGAGAGCCGCAGCGGGACTTCCTTCCCATCGTTGGAAATGCTTGTAGTGCAGTTCCCTCAGCTTAACAAGAAGTTGGTTGTAGTAGTCATAGGTTTTGTACATGAGGCGGACTAGGGCCCCTTGATTGCAGTAGTCATCGATTTCGTCATCCGGGTAGTGGCGCTTGACCATGAAGGCCTCGATGTACAGCGACATGTTGCCAAAGGCGCTGGTCTTGGCCTTGTCCAAACTCCCAACCAATTTTAGCAGACCTTCCCCATTCTTGACTCGCATCAAGGCGTGACAAGACGGTCTCTTCCAATTTGTGTCCAGATGGACTCCCTTTCCACTTTCCTTGCTGTTCGTCAACAGTGCCGACGATAGAGAATCCACTAGCAGCTCTGTCTCATATGTGTCCAAATTAATGTTAGTCGTACCTGGTAGAGCAGGGACGTCAACTGCAGCTACCATCAGCTCAGTGAAGTCC